ACCATTTATGCCATTTCTGTGGTTCTGAAACACCATCATCACAAACCAGCAGGTTCTGGACATTGTAGAGGTGGAATATAGCATCCAGTTCCAGTCTCTTTCCCCGCCCTCAATCACCTTCTCCGTTCCTATCCAGGGTCCCCTCTCATGAGAGTGGTCCAACATCTAGTGATGCAATCTCTTCATTTTTGGAGCAGTAGAAACAATCTCATCAAGGGGCTTATTCCCTTTACTTCCTCATTCCCAAAAAGCAGAGGAGGATAGTCTTGACCTAAGACTACTAAACACCTTCATTAGAAAGCTCAAGTTTGGGATGGTGTCACTTACTTCTATTATCCTATCCGTAGACCTCAATGATTGGTACACTGTTCTCAGTCTCCAGGATGCCTATTTTTACACTGTGATCTACGCAGCCCATAGAAGGTATCTTTATTTCCTATTGGGTGGTTGTCATTGCTTGCACAGAGTCCTACCATTTGGCCTGTTGATACCTCCCAGAGATCATGAAGTGCCTTCTGGTAGTGGCGTCTTACCTGAGGAAAATGAGAATCCAAGTGTTCTCATACTAGACAGCTGGCTGATTTGGGGAGAATCTCATCAAGAAGTAATAGACTTCATCCTCCATATTCAGGTTCTATTTTCCTGACTAGCTTTGAAAATAAGAAAAGACATGTCAGTACTGACCCCAGCACACACAAAAATGGAGTTCATTAGGGTCATTCTGGACTCCATGATAGTAATGACGTATCTTCCCTCTTCTCTCTCCCAGCCTCCTTCCCCCCAAAAATCATGCCGTGCTTGTCCTGTGCACCAATCTTCTGGCTCAGCCAAGAACAACTGTGAGAACATATCTCAGACTACTGGGCCATATGGCATCCTGACTCAGGATGCCAGACTTTACCTTCACTGTATGCAAGAGTGGTTGAAGTCTACATCCATCAAGCAATCATCATCTGGACCTGTTGGTTCATGCTCCACCTCGAGTCCTGTTGACATTAAAGTGGTGGATGGACCCAACAAAAGCCTGCAAAGGGATTCCATTCTTCCTTCCTCTTCCATTGAAAGCTCTGGTGATGAATCCATCTATGCTTGGCTAGGGAGCACATTTGGACAACTTGCTAATGCAAGACTTGTGGACCCCAGGAGAATCAACCTTTCACATAAACATCCTGGAGCTGAGCCATTTACAATGCTTTCACAGTCTTTCTACCAGTAACAAAGGGGCTTAACATACAGGTCATGACAGACAATACTACTGATATATTTTACTTGAACAAGCAGAGCAAAGCAAGATCCACTCCGCAGTGTCAGGAAGTGGCATGTCTCTGGAACTTTTGCATATGATTCATCTTCCAGGAATTCAAAATGTTCTGCCAGATTGCTTCTGTGGAAAGTTTGTTGATAACTATGAGTGGTCCATAACAGATGACATAATTGGATTGATATTCAGCAAGTGAGGTTTTCCCACCATGGACCCTCTTGCCACCAGGGAGAATGGGAAGTGCCATCACTTCTGCTCCAGAAGGAGTCAGACTCAGGGTCCACTTCAGATGCATTCTTGATTCCAGGGTTCTTGCATCTTCTCTACGTGTTTCTCCAATTCCATTAATATTAGCAGTCCTCAAGAAGCTCAACCTGGAACCAGGCAAAATAATGATAATCCTCGCCTGGCCAAGGCAGTTTTGGTATGCTGATCTTCAAATCTTATCTGCACAACCTATGATAATCTTGTGACAGTTACGGCAATTTCCTGCAATATCTCTGGGAGATCTTATTGTATTAAGTTTAGGTATCCCTGTGGGCCAGAGATTTTATGGTGGACCACAGCCTTCCAGGAACTAAGAATGGTGATGGGTGACTAGGTAAAATCTGTAACATCTTCAAAGAGGTACCACGACCTTGAGAGGCTTGCCATATACTGGTTCATACTGTATTCTCCAGAGCACAAGAAACAAAGAAAGGACTTTTGGATACATAGCCTGAGTTTAAACTGACTGAGAGCGTTTGTTTGTTTGTTTGTTTGTTTGTTTGTTTGTTTTTTTAACCAGGAGTGGACAGAACCTTCTATTGGGTGGAGGGGCGGGGGGCATGGGGGAGGGGTAATCCCTAGGGAAGGTTTGGAAGAACTGACATTGGCCAGATCCCCTGCTGAATCTGTGAGAGGTGATCCCTGGTAAGCTATTAGGATGTATGTAGGATTTTTATTGTTTTTAGTATGTTTTCTCTGTAGTGCTTTTATCTTAAAATAAATGTATTGCTTAGAAAGCCCCGAGCCATGGCAGCCCCGAACTCATGGGGTGAAGGCCAGAGACCTTATTACCTGCAAAAATCTAGGGCACCCCGCCTATACCCTACCGAGGGCTCAAGGCATGACCCAATCAATTTAGGCATCCCCACCCTTTCCCTTCTGAGGGCTCAGGGTGTAAGGCACCTACTGTCCATCATGCCATCTATTAACAGAGCCCAAAAGGAAGGCTTTAGGCACTGAGCTGTCCCTTTTAAACCCTGCGTTCCCAGGGGATGAGTCAGCGACCACACTGCTCCTTTTTGCAGCAGTTTTTATCCTCCCTCCCCGCCCCCAGCCATAAAATGCAGTTCCCTTCAATTGGCCAGCAATCCAAACACCCCGTCCCGCAGGTTAAAGTTGCAGGCGGTCATTGTAATAAATCATATTATCTTTATTAGGATTTTGTAGTTAAGTTGTGGGTCATAGTTCCATGTTATGTATGAAAAATACAGCATCTCTTCAAAATTACAGCTACTCTGGTTAATTAATGCATTTTCTGAGAATTTGCAGGTTAATCTGTTAATTAGCTTAAAAAAGTAAAAATGTAAGTCCTGAAAGAAATTTAGCACCACATGTTAGACTTTGTTTTGTCCCTAATGATCTTAATAACAGAATAGTAGACTCTTCAAACTACTCTTATGGTTTAAACTCACTGAAACCTTGTCTTAATCTACTTTGAAGGTTTTTTTAAAAGGATTAGTGATAGCTTTTTTGTTGTTATTCATAATAAATGAAAGTTTCTTCTTCAATAGAGTTTGAACAATAATGTTCTAGAGAAAACTGAATGAAGAATTGTCCCCTTTCAAAATGACACCTACCTCCCATTGTTCTCAATACAGCTAAGGACACAGGCTGCCCTTAGCAAAATGGCCACACCCTACATTCACCTGCTTCTCTCCATCTTCTGGAAACATAGGGGTCTATTAGCTTCCCTAAGGGAAAAATAAGAGGCAGTGGTCACTTTGAAAGGGGGTATCTTGGCTGGCCTCAGTCCCATTGAGAACAATGGGAAATGGTGGCCATTTTGAAAGAGGGTGGTTCTTCATTAGTAACTCAGAAGAAGACAACTTTATGCATCAGCTTCTACTGAAGGAGTATTTTCAGTTGTGAAAAATAATTGCAAAGATGACCACTAATCCTTAATTTTCTTTTCAAAACTACCCATTACACCAGCGGTATTCAACAATAAGGTCAGGAGGGAGGGGGACACTAGAGATTTCACTAGTGTGTATGCATATGTCTATAGAGGGGAACATGGGAGGAACTGGTGTGTTTGTGTGCACACTCACAGGGAATGTAGGGTGCAGCAAGGAGGATGAATTGGGGAAAAGGGAGTTTGTGGAGGGGAATTTGGAGGACAGAAGAGAGGAGGAAGTTGGGCCATGCCCTCTAGGTGCTTTGGCTGCTCTAGTGATTTTTACACAGCTTATCTGGCCACTATGCACTTGCTGATTTCTGCTGCTCCTGACAAAGTGTACATTTGACTTTAAAAGTTAAAAATAATGAAAACAAACTTTTAAGATTGATAGCATATATGTATTAAAATCGTTACCAGTATAGCATGGTATAATTCTTTTGTGTTTCTTGTTTGGTATGCAAAATAATGAACCAAGAAAATTTCCCAACATTAAAAACAAAGCAAAACTATGGTAAAATGGAGTTAAAGCTGAGAGTGCATACCAGTGTTTTAGGGTCAAATACATTACATGGAGGATGTAACTATCCCACAAACAAGCTTTATAAATCTAGGAAATTCAAAGTTCAACTTAAATTTAAAATAAAGCCAAATTTAAGATGTGGAATTGCACAGTTAGGACACCCAAATAACCTTAACTGTGTCCTAAAGTAACACAAGGCACAGTGGGGGGGCAGGGGTGAATCTGTTCTGGGACCACAAACACTAAAACGTCTTAATCATAATCATATGACTACTACAAGGTATCACTACAAGTCAGAGTTAAGGTTATTTGGTGCCTTAACTACAGATTTCCATAAATTTGATTTTTGGATATTTGGATTTCTTTTGTTTTTAACCTTAAGTGTTAATTGCCTGGTTTAATAATGTTTGTTTTTGGAATAATTACATCACTGTAATGTATTTTTTCCCTAAATTACTATTATGTAGTCTCAACTTTGTCTGGGAATTATTTTCTTTTTACTCTTTTATTATTTAGATTACTCCTATTTTATTAGTTTGGTAAATTTTGAACTTATAACTTTTTATTTGACTCCATAACTTATACCATCCACCTATTGTGGTTATTTTTATTAAATTAATATTAGAGATATTTTTGGTATGTTTTTGTAGGCAGATCTTCCATGTGACTTCCAAAGTATTATTATTATCATTTAATTTTTATCTTCAATAATTTTTGAAAAAAATAAAAAAGATGGAACTAAAAACAAACAAATAGAAAATAGAGGCATGTTAAAATATTTTTCATTATTGTCTTTATAATTATTATCATATTTCAAAATTATTATATATTATTTAGCATAGTTTATTAAAGTATTTTATACATTTATAAATATTTGTGGAATCTGCAGGTGAAGAAATTCTAATCATTCACTGTCATGAATTTATTTTATAGCCAGACTCTAGATAACAACAAATCTTAATGTTTTGTTAGATTGCATTAACATTCCCATACCATTATTTGAAATATTTATGTTCTCTATTAAGCTATACCTCAACATTCTGTTTTACCTGCAGCTGAATGTGGAGCCTCTGCAACAAATAATGAAGGAATTTTGCTGTCCCCCAATTACCCACTCAACTATGAAAACAACCATGAATGCATTTATAGCATTCAGGTACAAGCAGGGAAGGGAATCAATATTTCAGCCAGAACATTTCACTTAGCACAAGGAGATGTTCTTAAGGTAGGTTGTCACTTTTGTAATGTGTCTATGTTATTTCGAAACTCATCATGCTTTCATGCCATTGTGCTGTTCATCTGTGTGTAGTATTACAATCTTATGTGAATGTATATTAATAATTGCCATTATAGTAACATATCTTCTATCTAAAACAATTCCACATGGAATAAGTCAACCTTTTGCTTTGTCTACAGTCTCCCATTCCTTTACATGTCCATTCTCTAACCATATACCCATGTTTTTACAGCCATAAAAACATTTTAAGACCAAGTATACTCTGCAGTCTTAAATTTGTATGTAAGTTTACTACTCCCAATGTTACATACTAATCTTTTAACAGGGTTGCATGTCTCCTATGACTCATGTTTTTGCATCAAAATTTTCAAAAGTTTTATTCTTGTTTAGGAAGTAATATTTTTGTCCAATTAGATTGAGAGGCTGAATTTTATATGATTCTTGACTGGCACACAAGGAATGCACTTATAAGGGGTCTGGAATTGCATGGTAGGAAGCACCTGCTGCAAAATGTTGAGCACCATCAATTCCAGTTGGGCTCCCAGCACTTTTAAAAATTGATCTCAAATACTAACATTATTAATTTGATGTATAGCTATCACCCTAACAACTACAGTTTTCTAAAATGTTTGTTAGGTACTTTTTTATGAGTAGACTAACAAAATATTTACATTTATACCTGAATACATTGCTTAGAGATTTACATTCCAGGTTAAATACTGTTAAACTGTTTCTAATAGGCAAATCAGCAGAAACAAACAAAACAACAAAGAATAGTCCCAGGCTTTATGAAAAAGTAAAACAAAACACAAAACTAAAAAACAAACGTTAACTCCATCAAATCTAACACAAATGAACTACTTCAAAGGAATACCAAAAAATGCAGAAATTACATTCTCTATTTTTTTGCTTTGCTATTTACAAAGTAACTGACTGTTTCCTTTAATTATCCTGTTACTTTACTAATTGATAAGAGAGTTAACGCTTATGATTTATCTTCCATTAAAAAAAAAAATTTAAGTAAAGCTAATCCTTGTAACACCCATGTGTGGTATGTAAATATTCAATTTTACCAATTATGGTATTTTACAAGTAGTGAATTGAGTTAGAGAAAATAATGATTTGTTAGAGATGAGATTTGGACTCAGGAGGTTCTGGCCTGTATTTAGATCACTATCCCAACACCACTGATAAAAGTAAATATACCAATTTTTCTTTGTAGGTTTTTATATAGAAAATTATGGATGGAATTCCTCATGACCATAAATAACATTGAACTATCCAAATCTGTTATCTATAAGTAAAAATGAAAACATTCCAGAGTAGAACCTCGGGAATGGAGGTTGTTCATAACTCTGAAATGTTCATAACTCTGAACAAAATGTTATGGTTGTTCTTTTAGAAGTTTACAACTGAACATTGCCTAAATACAGCTTTGAAACTTTACTATATGGAAGAAAAATGCTACTTTCCCTTTAATTTTTTAATAGTTTACGTTTAACACAGTATTGTACTATATTTGCTTTTTTTGGTTTGTTTGTTTTTTTGCCTCTGCTGCTGCCTGATTGTGTACTTCCGGTTCCAATTGAGGTGTGTCCTTGACTGGTCAGTTCAGGGACTCTCTTTTTTGTAACTCTGAAGTTCTACTGTATTGAATTAGATGTGACATTTAACTTGGAAGCAATGCAACTCTTCTCCCTGCTATAGCCACGCCATTTTTATCTGTGCACAGGCAGTTCAGAGAATATTTATGATTGAGTTGCCATGACAAAAACACAGATTTCAATGTTCATCAGCTTTCCTTTTACCTTCCTGTAGAAAACATTAGCTTGGAATGTTTTTACTTATTTAATTATTTTTACATTTAATTACCGGTAATATGCTTTTATCTTCATTTTCAAGGGTAGTGCAAAGTTGGTTACAGGGAGAAGAAAAAACACTGAAGAATAGCTATAAATATCACTCACAGAATTTTTCTCTGCGTTAAGTAGGGATGAATAATAAATAAATAAAAGTGTCAGCTGGTAATTGGATTCTTGCATATCAAGTCACCACCTTTGAATTACAGTAATAAGCTATAATTCCTCCTAAACTATTTGACAGGCAGCAATAGCACCATCATCAATTATGATCAAAGTTTAGGTGCTTACCTGAATCGGAGGCAGGGCAGAGCTACTACATAACAGGGGGATCTTGAGGAAGGATGATACCCAAGGGCATAGGCACCAACTCCGTGGGTGCTCCGGGGCTGGAACACCCATGGAAAAAGACTAGTGGGTGCTCAGCACCCACCAGCCACGCACCGATCAGCTGTTCGGTGGGCCCCTCCAACCAAGTGCTCAGTGGGCCCTGCCGATCAGCTGTTCAGCAGTGGGTGGGAGGTACTGGGAGGGGGTGGAGCGGGGGCAGGAAGAGGCCGAGCAAGGGCAAGGCATGGTGGGGGGGGGGGGACGGGGCACGGGGGAGGCAGGGGGGGGACGTGGGGGGAAGGAGTGGATTGGGGGCGGGGCCTCGGAGTGGAGTTATATAATTCCTCCCCAAATGACCCAGTCCGCAGAAGGATTGCATTTCATAATCTCTGAGATGATGTGGGGGAAACGCAATTTGATGGTAGGCAGGCGCTGTTAGTTCTAGGTTTCTCTTGTTAAAGTAGAGTTCTCTTATTTCCTAAAATAAAATATTTACCTACTCTTTTCTAGAAATAAAGATGAGGTGTTCTTAGAGCTTAAGGTTTCATAAGAAGAGGTTCTGGAGCAAACTGATACATTTAAAAAGCAGACTCACCAGGCCCAGGTACTATACATCCAAGAGGTCTGAAGGATTTTAAGAATAAAATGACTGAACTGTGATAAAAATGCACATTGTTCTAGCTTATGCTATTATCTCTCTCTCACTATTTTTAACTCTTTAATCTGTTCCCATGCTGATTTAGCAGAAATTATCCATGATCTTTACCAGTCCCTGCTGCAATTCAATTGTATTTTGAATGATGCAGAGATATCTTTGTATTATTGACCTCCTTAACAGGTTTTGTCTGACCTGTGTGTTCCATGGTGTCTGTCAGGTTTTCCCCGGCTCATTAAATAATCCTCTCAAAACCATATTGTTTTACGTGCTTTCAGTCTGGTTCAACTTTGTTGTAGGTGGAGCCTTAAGCATGAGTCATTATCATACGTAAACAAATTCCCAAGTGATTCCTGGAAAAGCTATGTCCAAAAAAGGACAACCTTGAAATCTCAAAGTTAACTAATCAAACCAATAATTTGATGGTTCATACATGCACACTTCCTCTTATATGAAGAACATTTGGGTCTCTTACTATAGCAATTCTGTAACTTCACCAGGAGCCTTGAAAATCCATAATCAATAGTGGTTTTTTTACATTAGATGAACTCAGTTTATATTATTTATTTGCCTCAGGTATTGCTTTCTTATAACAACAATTTCACATAATGGGTGGGATTTTCAAAAGCATCTGAAGATTTGTCAACATGAGGATACTCAATTAACACAAATCAACTAAAGGTGTGAAGTTAATGCACATAAATTAGCGCACATTTAACACCCATGTGGATGTACTCATTCAGGAATAATTTCTTTTTAAAATTAAATACAGTAACTCCTCACTTAACGCTGTAGTTATGTTCCTGAAAAATGCGACTTTAAACAAAACGATGTTAAGCGAATCCAATTTCCCCATAAGAATTAATGTAAGGGGGGGGGGCGGTGTTAGGTTCCAGGGAATTTTTTTTCACCAGACAAAAAAACTATATATTATATAGATATATACACAATATAAGTTTTAAACAATTGAATACAGTTCACAGCTATGATGATTGTGAAGCTTGGTTGAGGTGGTGAAGTTAGAGGGTGGGAATGCCTCGCTGCTAAATGATGAACCAGCACTCAGCTGAGCCCTCAAGGGTTAACACATTGTTGTTAATGTAGCCTCTCATCAAGGCAGCACGAACAGGAGGGAGTGGAGACAGCATAGCAGACAGAGACAGACACACATCTTGTGTGTGAGAGGGAGAGAGAGATGCACACTGCCCCTTTAAATAAGCTGACCCACTCTTAAGTGCATTGTCTTTTTAAGTGGATCAGGAAGTTGAGACAGCAGCTGCTTCCCCAAGCTCTCTCTGTTTCTCTCTGTCCGTGTCCCCTCCCTGCTCTGTATGGAGAAGGGGGTAAGCAGGGTGCAGGAGCAGGGAGGAGAGGGACACCCTGACATTACCCCCCCCATTCTCCCCCTGCACAGCAAGCAGGAGTCTCTGGGAGCAGCTCCAAGGCAGAGGGCAGGAGCAGCACATGGCAGTGGGGGGAGGGACAGCTGAACTGCTGATTGATAGCCTGCTGGGCGGTTGCAGCACATGGAACTTAGGGGAGCGGGGAGCTGATAGGAGGGCTGCTGGTCCACCCTGGTTCCAAGCCTCCATCAGCTAGCTGCAACGGGCTGCTCTTCCTGCAAGCAGTGGACAAAGCAGGCGGCTGCCAAACAACGTTAGAAGGGAGCATTGCACAACTTTAAACGAGCATGTTCCCTAATTCATCAGCAATGTAACAACAAAACAACATTAACCGGGACGACTTTAAGTGAGGAGTTTCTGTAAATTAAAGAAATATTCCCAGTCCCAAAGTTTATATAGTCTAACTGAAGAAATGGAGGGTGGAGTCATGACTCGATGAAAGTCAATAGCAAAACTCTGATTAACTTCCAGGGATTTCACTGGAAATGATGAGTGAGAACACAAACGATATGCATGGATTGGGGTAATGAGTAACATGAGTTACAACACCAAGATCATTAATCATCTAAGACATGAGGAAACCTTGATGGTTCAGATCAAAGCTTTGGTTTGGTTTGGTTTAGTTTAACTTCCTCTGAACAATTCCTGTGAATTGCTTCCTGTGAGCCTTATGTAAGTATTGAGTTTTATGGATGGATTTAGGTGTGAAGAGAGTAGTGACTTGGCAGACCAGAATTGGAA